TATATATATATATATATATATATGACAAAAAAATATTATAATAATAATAAATATATGCCTTTGACATTACGGCCTCTTCGAAAATACTAGCCGACCAAACAATAAGAAAATAATACTTAAATGTTGTACGCTACATCTTTTTCTGTATTTGTTTACACCCTCATCCCTACCCCTGAACACCCATCCACAGTCTCTTCATCAGTCTCTCCCTCTCGTTCTCCCCTCCGTCTCTCCCTATCCCTCATCTTCTCTCCCTTTCCTTTTCCCTGTTCCTCTCACAATCTCGCCATCTCCCTTACCCTCCTTTTCCCTCTCTTTCCCTCCCAAGCACGCACACACACGCTCGCACTCACACATACACACACACACACACAAATACACGCGCGCGCGCATATATAGTGCAGTCATTTGATCAATATAATGCAAGCGGAACAGCAATTCATATATTGCCCTTCAGATTCCATAAAAATACACAACTGAACTTGTATACACAAATATTAACCGATAAAGCCTCCTTCTTCATAGGCACTAACACGGCAGAGCACTCTAAGATTTACAATTCTCTTTATATTGCTCTCAATCCAAAGACAACTTTTCCATGTGTTGTCTGTTGCAGTTGACCCCGTGTGCTCGCCGAGGCCGTGCAGCGACCGGGAGGCGCTGATGGAGGGCTCCTGCCACTCGCTGGCCGACGTCTCCAAGTGCCCGCCCCGCCAGCAGCTGTTCATCAACGAGGCCGGCGAGGGCGAGTGCGACTGCCTCCCCGGCATGGTGTTCTTCGAGCAGACCAACACCTGCTACACGCCTTACACCCAGGGGCCGTGCCAGCCGGGACACATCATCAGAGTAAGGACAAGACTAGGTTTTTCTCTAATGTAAAGCGTATCAAATGCGGCTGGTCATAACTCCTCTCACACTTTTATAAAGGAAGTAAATTACTCCCCAAAGCTCAATTACTTACAACTAACTGAATTTTCGCGCACGCTATCTGCTAGGTCCTGGACGCGGATGTGAGCGGCCGCGCCCAGTGCGTGCGCAACGCCTGCCCGTCGGCCAACATGGTGCCGATGGACTCGCAGTGCCACATCCACACCACGAGGAGCGCGGGGATCTCGTGCTTCAGCATCAACACCCCCGGCCCCTGCGCAGAGGGCGAGCTCGTCATTGACAACGTCCTCAACGAGCCCGTCTGCCTCCAGACGGAAACCCACAGCATCTTCAACCTGCCCAATACCAAGGCTTGCCCCCGAGGCTCCATCCGCGACCAGCTGGGCAGGTGCCGCCGCGATAAGAGCCTGCTGTTCCAGCGGTTGCCCCCCGTGGTGACCAGCCGCCCGGGTCCCCAGCCCAACCACGACGGCCTCTGCCCCCCGGGGTTCGAACTCCTCGGAGGCACGTGCATTAGATTAGGTTAAGGCCGCATCCTCTTCCCCGGCGGCCACCGCGAAGCCAAAGACTGCTGCTGTCGAACGGAGTCCCTTCCACCCTCCCCGGGCATTCCTCCCTCACGCCCTTCCGTCTTGCCCTGTGTCAACGTTTCCAGTTGCGCCTGTATATCATACATTCCCATACAGAGTTATTCACACGCCTACCGACTGCTTTAGTTATTCAAGGGTGTTGCAATGTTTTCTCTGGTCCAAGGGCTCCATGTGTTGATGAATGGACTTTTGTGATAACTATACATGAAGTTTATTTTCTTGTATTATACTTCTATTAGGTTTACGATGCATTTCTTATTGTTAATGTATATACTGTTTCGAATTACAATAAAATAATGATAAAAATATCTAAATCTATTTAATTTAACTTTCGCTTCAACAATACCCATATATCTAATTACCTGAAACATAAACTGTATGAAACGAAACAATTAACTAATTCAACTAAGCCAAAATAAACGCATTTTCTAAAACTCTAGAATCGAATGCAATTAACAAAACACTCTTTACTTATATAACTTTGCATCCTGCATTTCTGGCTCGAACACCCAATTCTGCATCCAGGAGAAAACAGGAACCTGCAACCCTCAAGCAGGTGAATGACCATTAGCCATCACGCACGCACGCAACACATTGCTCACTATCATGTGTAACCTCACCATCTAACACAAATATAAACATAAATATAAATATGTACTCACACACACATACACACACACACACATATGCCAAGGGTATAAGATAGGAGTCATTTAATGTCTCTCCCTTTTTCGCAAGTTAACTTCCTACTCCCTGCTCCCCCCTCCCTTTTCCTCTCCCCTCTTCCCTCCTCCCTACTCCTTTCTCTCCCCTCTTCCCTCCTCCCTACTCCTTTCTCTCCCCTCTTCCCTCCTCCCTACTCCTTTCTCTCCCCTCTTCCCTCCTCCCTACTCCTTTCTCTCCCCTCTTCCCTCCTCCCTACTCCCTTTTCCCACGCCTCAAGCCCATGCCTGTCATCCCATCTTCAGCTTAATTATTCTCAACCTCGCGTCTGCTCACTCCACCCATCACCCTACAACCGCAAGGAGTCAGCCACTCCACACACACAAAAAATTACCTTAGCCGTCACCTCTCCCTCGGATTACACTTTTCACCCTTGGCGTTCGAGCAGCGAAGATCTTCCTCTGCTCATCTATTTATTTGTTTCGTCTTCATCTCCTCTCCTTCGTCCTCTTTCAGTCCTTCTCTTTTTTTCTCTCCTTCTTCGGTCCAGCTATTCCCTCCCTCAATTTTACCGTATTCCCCGTCCTCCTAATCCACGTCTTCTATATTCTTCCTCCTCCGCCAGTAATCCCTCTCCTCTCCCCTCCCTCCCTCCCTTCTCCTCCTTCCACCATCCCTCTCGTTTCCCTCACTCCAACTCCAACCCCTTCCCACCCACACCTCTCCTCCCTCGAAAACTCCTCGACCCTAACCCACCGCCCAAGTATCTCTCCGCCATTGCATGTTCCTCTCCCTCTCTGGGAAACGAAACGGCGCCCCACACAGCCAGCCCCCGCACGCCCCAACCACGCGAGGGAGAGAATAATTCAGGGCACCTCTTCTCTGGAACGTCGCCCAGTCCTTCCAACCCCCCTACCCTCCTCACCCTCACCCTCACTCCAGCCCCAACCCCCA